ACTGAACGTGACTGTTGTGGTGGCACTGACAGCCGGACACAGAAAAACACAGAAAAATGACACTGATGACGGCGGAACAAGTCGAGAGAGGAGAGAGAGAGGTTATGAACTACGCAACAGAGGGAATCCACTACGACAACGAGGAGAAGCTTTTTTTTGTTACGACAAAGAGCTCCAGCGTACTTCGACACAAGGGTTGACGTTCAACGATCAGTGGCAGCAATGGAGACAGGTCAATGAGAGCACGTTAGTTGCTGCTGCGCTTATATCAAAATGCATACGTGCATGACGACCACACCATGACATCTTGCTCTGCGAACACCCTTCACCAAGTCATGGATTGGATGTGCAACGACCATGACATCGACATGACCAAAAGAGATGGAGGCGGTTCGTACGACACATCAACGTTCAAGAAGTTTATGAGCTCTCAGGCGAGAGAAAGTCAAATGTTGAAGACAGGGGGTGGTGATGAATTGAAGTCGAATGCAGCGGAGATATTGGCACTGAGCAGGATGAACGAGGTCCCTCAAAGAGATCCTATTGACTACCATGAACTGACAACAATGGTGGTGGACGGTGTTGAGTATGTGCTACTAGACCAGATTGTTGACTTTATGAGAGTGGAGGCGAGGACAAAAATCTCATTCACGAGGCATTGCATGAGGTGACGGAGGAGGCAATAGCAGCAGCGGAGGTTGTCGATGTTGAGTGCGTAAAGGATCACACACTCGACCTTGTATCGAGGACTCCTGTGTCCCCGTGGAACATATGCGAAGCTGTAGAGGAGTTGACCGCGGCATCGACGGACGTGGACAGGAGGAGGAAAGGAAAGGAAGGATGGCAAATGCTTGTTGCAGAACAGGACACCGCAAGGACACACACAACAGACACGACAGTGCAGGACCGAGGTGCCACAGTATCTCTGGTGGATGCCAGGACCGTGTTGAAGAATCCTGCTGCGAATGCAGCGACTGTCCATGGCGGATTCAGAGAGTGGAGATTGGCACCCAGACATCCTTCACGTGACTTCAATGAAGGAGTCGAACAAGCATCACAGCAGGGAGATGATGTGGTGGTTCCTTGTGACGAGAAGGGCGATGCACAGACAGGACCGCAACAAGAGAACCCGACATCATGGGAGTCGGGAGTGAGTGGCAGTGATATCAGTAGCGACGAGGTGGGCAAGGAATACGATCCTTATTGGGACGTAAAGCGAGGTGGTGGTCAGGGGTCGAAAGGGTGGTGTCATGCAATTTTGAGGTTGGCGCGTGTTTTCTCGAAACCGCACCCATTGATACGTGTTGTGGACAAGGTGGCAACACCGGACGGGCGTCTACACTTCGCAGCAATTAAGACAATTATGTTGTGCATGGAAAACGACAAATGTTGGGCTAAGACAACAAAATCATGGTTTGTTCTCATACACAAGGAGGCCATTCTGACGACATCGCTGTCATGGGGTGTGAACCTCAGTTGCGTCATACATGGAGCAATTGCCACTGCATGCGGCGGGACCGTCCACCCCTCAATGTCAATGGCGGCAGCAATTATACATGCACAACCAACACTCCGTCTCATTGGCACGAAATACAACAATATCGATGCTGCTATGGACATAGGCCAAACATCAGAGGAACAATCGAAACGAAGAAAATTATAAGGCTCTCTCTCTCTCTCTCTCACACACACACACACACACACACAAATTAGATATTCTTATTACCGTATCACATGTGCATTGCTTGTGACGATGTGGTTGGGAAGTTGGGGCCGTATATGAAGACGTTGTTGC